GCGACATTATTTTTAGTCTAGTTCTAATTGCAATTTATATCTATGTTATTGTTCATGTGCGATACAAAACTAATTGGCGGGTTTTTTTCTACACTGAAGAAGGTCCCAAAATGGATCAAAACGTTTATTACAGGCTTCGATGCTTTAGATATCGGTTTGATACAATTAATTTAAGCATAATCCAATGTACGACTTTTATCTTTTGTTTTTTATTTTGTTAACCTTACAGCTTTTATATTGAATATTTATTTTATATTTATTTTATATTGAATATTTATTTTATAAAACCCAAATATATTAATTTCTAATTTTTTAAAATAAATACCCGAGTATTGTCGCTTTTTTAGCCTAAAATAATAATTAGCGCCTTTAAATGATGAAGTATAATAATAGAACTCGATAGAATGTATTACATGAATTTTGCATGTCACGTTGTGCTCGATTAGTTAATAAAATTCTATAAATTTACATAAAATTATACAATACTTTATTATGTATCACGAATTCTATAAATTTACATAAAATTATACAATACTTTATTATGTATCACGATTTTTCAAACAATCTTAATAACGCGTTAAATTAAAACCAGTAATCAGGATACATTTTTTACATAATTAATTATTAACTTCATAAGCAGATCAGATAAAAGATTCGTCACACAAGTTTTTTTATTATACGTGCAATATCAAATTTGTAATTTTAATTTTAACCTTTATCTTATGGACTAATCTACGCACATTCGCTCTCATGCACGCCACCTAACCAAGTCCCAACCTTTGTCTTATCAAAAAAGTTTATATATTATATATTAATACTGTAGAATTTCTGTTGTTATTTATATTTTAAATAAAAACAATACGCAATTATTCAGATATAGAATGCTTTAGACCGTTTATATCGACATATTTTTTTAACAATTTCAAAATAATTTTTTTTTTATTGAAAATATCCAGAAATTATTCATAAGTATATTCCAATTTTCAACATAACTTTGTAGTTTCAAAGTAAAATTCGAAATTCACTTAAAATTTGTTTGAAAAAGTAATAATTCTGCTATCAAAGTTTAGTTTGTGAATGCCCCGCTTTTTCGATCGCTTCTATCTTGTAAACCATTGATGTTTTGACGTTTTTGTTGAAGAAAACAGCTTGGCACACCTGCATATCTTCTCTGCCAGGGTGAATAACGAATTGCATTATCGTTCGAATACTTCAAATTGCTTTCTTCGCATTGCTATATCACGAGTAACAATTTATCGTTAAATTTTCCTCAGTGAAACGCAAAATACTGCGCGCACTATCTTTTATGCTGGCATTATTTTGCAAAGCTGTTTCATTTTTCAGTCACAATATACAGAAGCGCGGCCGGCTTCCTGCCGTTTAAAAGCCAGCTAAATACTCATATTACTGATACTCTGGCGAACTTCCGGCGCCTATTTCCCTCCCAATTAACTCGACATTCGTCTGGCGGTATATCGCTATTTCAGCAGATTGGCACGAATCGTTTCCAAGCACCAAAAGCTCCTGAAATATGCCAGGGCCGCTTTCCAGGGGCCGTTCAAAACTATTTGACGCTCGCCCGCGCAGTCCGAGTTGAATAGCGAATACCATAGCTACCGTACGGTTTCAGAGATTCGAAAGCCGCTTTCGATGTTTCGCGCGCGAACCGATTCCGCGGCGATTCGGCGCGATTAGTTTCACCCTGCGCGCACCGGGGAATCCCGGGCTCTTTCCGGAAGTATTCCAATTTCTCGCGGTCATCGTCGATAGACGCGTTTATTCGTCGACAGATCGAATAGCGTATGTGTGTTCGACATATGTATGTATACATATACGTACACACAGTCTGTACAAGTAATCACCGTAGTTACTTGTACAGATGTCTCTCCTCCATAAAATCTTGAAAATTAATCTGTTATCTGGTTTTTAATTATTTAATTTTATCTTGGTCTCTTCCAGTCATTTACCAGTCATAATCGTTATCGTTATATGTAATTAGCGTTTGAAGTAAGACGCGTATGAGGTAATACGCGTCGCTAAAGATTTTATTAATTCAATATTCAGTCAGTGTGACACAGTATAATTAAATATTTTCCTTAATTAGGTAATATTAAATTGTGCGTAAATTATCACAGTTTTAAATATCGTTTTTATTTTATTTTTTTCTCACATAATAACATAGAAGTAAATGAGAAATGTGTAGACTATACGGTTATAATATAATTCCATGTTATTGAAATCATATTGTATTATTTTAACTGTAATACATCGAATTTATTATATTATATGACTTCTTTGATATTTATATTATATATTGTGAAAGAAAATTTATTAAATCATTTTTAAAAATGCACTTGTTTAATATCGAGTATCATGCATTTTTTTTTTACGATCGAGATTTATAAAAGTATATTTATTTTATTAGATAAAATTATACTTCTCCTAATATTACTTTTATGCCGAATAAGTAATATAGATAATATGAAAAGCCCGCCTCAATTCGAGTCATAAAGAAGAAGGATATTCGCTAAAATCTTTCTTTACTTTTCTCGCTTCGTTATCATGATTATTTATACTAACATCAATCGCTTGTAATAACGTTTGGGATTTTTGTCCGTAATCACGTTAACTTTGTTACAGTTTGCCATGTTATGTCTTCGCCGTTCGCTGCTTATCTTTCAATTACTTATACACGTTTAGGAAAGGAGCTCAGAGAGGAAACGCTCTGCCACATAAGTCGATAAAGGCGATTAAGTTGACTCTTTCCCGTCGCGTAATATCGTTCCCAGAAGCCGTCTACGCGAGCTGCTGCATTAACAGTGCAGTATTGTTGCACCGGAATACACACGAACCTATATTTTGCGTAATAGTGGAGCGATGGTATCGTCGAGAGAGAGGCATACGTTTACGTTGGTTGTAAAGCAATCCGTTTCAGCATAGAATTACAACGGCGATTACGTTACACAGCCGCAATAAAAATCCGTAGTAATTCGATGAGAAGTCGCGTTCGATTCATGATCGACGTCCAATGAATAAAGAGAACTCTATATCTTGCTGTCATATAACCGATTATAATACGATCCTGATCAAGATTTATACGTGATCCGCAAATAATTTATAAGATTAAAAGCGAAAAGCAAATAGAAAGAAATTTTTATTGTTAAGGTTACACCCTGAGCAGAAAATAAACCAGAATCTAGTCAGTAACTGATCAGGAAATTTAATTATTGGCCAGTTTCTGTTTACCCGAGAAAAAATATATCTAATAGAACAGTTTTCAAGACTAATAGCTAGATAATAATGATTAGATAAGTTTTCTAGCCAGTCACGAGCTAGTGACTGGCTAAATATTCTTACTCAGTCTTTTGAATGTCAGGACTATCTAGTAACTATACCAGTTATATAAATAGTGGCTAGATGGAAAATATTACATAGTAACGAGATAGAAAATCATCGGTAAATCCTGAATAGAAATTAGATATCAGAACTGTCTAGTAACTATATCAATTACATAGACAGTGGTTAGACGAATAAAATTATACAGTAACGAGATAGAAAATCATCGGTAAATCTTGAATAGAAATTGGACGTCAGAACTATCTAGTACTTACACCAATTACATAAACAGTGACTAGACGAAAAGGATTACACAGAGTCCATTCGACACAATGCTTTGAAGCGACAAATGAAGTAATATGATTTATTTAGTCATTATTCCGAAGCACTTGCAGTGCTAAACACACTTTTTCTTATATGACTACATCCATGGCTTTTAAGTATTTAAAAACACTTGTATATTGCACAGAATTCGCACAGAGATAAAGATTATTCAGAGATAGAGATTTCTTTAGATTTAATATTCCTACTTGCTCAATTTTGTTTCATCAAAATATGATATTCTTATACAAAATATTATTTTTAAAATAAAATTGTTATCTTGTTGAAGAAAACCATATTATTTTTATAAAAAATACTATTGTTTAAAATAATGTTTTTCAAATATTTTTTTTTAATTTAATAACTCGAGAGAGAGAGAGAGAGAGAGATTCCATATGGATTTCTTAGAATTTGTTTTAAACTATTTTTTGTTTGGATTAACTATTGCAATATTCCATTAAAAGTCTAAAAGCAAAAGTCTAAAAACAATCATGGAATCACTGGTTCACTGATATACATTATATCAGTATTCATCCCACGTCAAATGTTGTTGCATTGTTTGAATAGTTTGAATAAATATGTTATAAATATAAATATAAATATATACTGTTATAAATATAAATATAAATATGACTGAGAACATTATAAGAGAATACATTGTAGGAATACAAATCGTAAGAATATCTTCGGAGCATTAGAATCGTCGCTTAATCATCTAAATCAAGCACCACTTTGCAGTCAAGGACATGGATAAGTGCCAGCCGCGTCATTTAGAATCAAGGCCTACAGAAAGAAGATACGCGAGAACGTTTGAGATTATATGTGTGACAACGTTTGGTTCACGAAATATGAGAAATAAATTTCTTTTTATATTTATATTTAATATTGCACTACTTTTTATATTTACATTTAATATTGTTGCAACGTTGTTATAATGTTACATTGCAATGTTTCTGAATAAAAACTTTGTCGCAATCTTACAACAATATATATGGCAGTAAGTTCTCGTAAAATTTATGAGAAGTGTATTACCAAAATATTCTTTAAAAAATTTCTCATTAAAAAAATATTCTTTGTTGAAAGCAAACATTACTTTGAAAAAAAAGTTAAATGATTTATCGTCTGTTTAAGCAGTAGAATAATATTTTGCTGTGTATGTGCAGATATATGATACTATTTGTAAACTTATCTCCGAACACAACTATAAATATTTCAGCGGAGGAAATTTATTTTCGGCATGAGCCTCATCAAATCTACACGATAACAAAATGCTGATTGCAAAACATTACATGTTACAGATAAAAGAAAGAGAAATGCACAAATCATAGACAGAATGGGCGAAATTGTGTTCAGCTGACCTAAGAGTCATATCGGTGATGTGTTCATTTATCTGTTGTACGAAAAAAAACAAAATATTCCTTTATATATTTGTAAATACTCCTTTATATATTTGTTTTACATATCTATTATACAAAAATTGCAAAATATTCCTTTTGAAACGTAAGTATTTTTTCTTAAGTGTCAATAAAATCGGAAAATATATTACACTTGAGAAAGGGAAAATTGTAGTTTAAGAACATTCGGACAAAGTTTTAGGTGTTTTAAAATTTCATGTTAACATCCTCCATCGTGAGTAAATAAATTTAAGTGAAGTGGACAGATTAGATTAAGATTATGTGGACAGCACAATCTATTAAAATGTCTTAAAGATCGGAATGTAGAACATCTTTTGGGCGTCTTTAAGATATCTTTTAATAGATTGTGTTTTCTGTATAGTTAGAATAAAGCTTTTTGTATATATATATATATATATATATATATATATATATATATATATATATATATATATATATATATATATATATATATATATATATATATATATATATATATATATATATATATATATATATATATATATATATATATATATATATATATATATATATATATATATATATATATATATATATATATATATATATATATATATAGTAGTATAATATTACATTATCTCGCGTAATAAACGTAATAAAAGTAATTTTGCTTAATGCAATTATTGAAATCGAGTATATAACCAGATAAAATAAAGAGTTGATCAATATACATATGTGTGTGTATCGTGCGCGCGCATGTGCATGTATGTATACGTGTCGAGAAGATAAAATCCCATCAACGTTAAAACCGCGTTGCGAGAGCGCGCAGAGCCGGCCGGGGAAGAGGCATTATTATCAACAGAAAACAGAGCGCGACCGGAAGGAGAGCACGAACGATGAAAAACACGCGTTCCGCCGGGCGGTATAGCTTAACCACGAACAATGCGATAAAGAGGCAAAAACGAGGGGAAAAGGGGTAAAATAAAATCGCGCGCCGCCGCAGGTGCGGCCGTCGATCATCGTGCGCGCGATGCACGAGGGCAATAAAATATGTCAAACGGTGTCTCTAAAGCGCCCGGGTGAAATTTTTAGCGAAGCATTACCATTGCAAATCCGCGCGCGGTCCGCTGTAAAAGCGACCGCGGAAATGGCTGTCGCGAAGCGGAATTATCTGCGATCGTGATCGGTCCTCTCGTATTTGTCATGCGACGCGTGTTTGTTCGCGCAAGGAAGCCTCCGTTGTGAGAGTGCGCGTATCGATGTGCGTTAAAACCATAGACATATAACATATAGACTGCGTGTTCCCTATCTTTCCCATTATGAAAAGACGTCCGAAAATTAGAAAGAGCAAAATGGTTTGAAACCCTATTCTATCTTTGTCAGAAAACGTGGTAGGGGAGAAGCGAATTGGTGGAATAGATACTGAGAGATAAGGATAGGTAGGGACTCCAAAGCATTTTGCTCTTTCTAATTTCTATACATTTTCTCAGCCAAATTTTTTCAGTCTATATATTACATGTCTATGGTTAGAACCGCTGGCTTATACGAGGACAAGAAAAATCACGTGCGAAGTCATGTCGCAACTGTCGAATCAACGAAAGCAGAATAGGTAAAACAGGCCATTTTTTGCCTAAGCGATGGAACTTTTCTTATATATGTTTTCTTATACTTTTTAATATGTTGTTAAATCATTTGTAAACGTTAATTTTAAGTTAAACTGATTGAAAATCGCATTTAAAATACCACAGTCTCGACGAAATTTGAGTAAAAACTTAAGAGTACTTGAGTTTTTATCTTTTTTTTCCGATTACCTCCTCCTTCACACACACAAATTTTTACTTTTACTTACCATCACCCATTCTAATCAACTAATCTAATCTAAACTAATGCAATCTAACATCACCAAGCCTAGAATAATTTAATCTATTCTCTTGATGAATGAAATCGTAGATATTTATGTCATATCTATAATATCTAATCATAGATATCTATATTAAATTGGTTCATCTTCTAGATACAATGTATAATATCTCAGTATAATATACAATTCGTACAAATGTATATACGCACTGTTTTGTATATACACATCGAGACACACAACATATATAAGTTTAGGTTTCCACGCTAGGGCTAATACTTAACTTGCTTTCCAGGTTAATACAATATCCAGGTAAAATTTTAGGTTGCATCTCAAGAAGTGAACTCAAATATTCTTGAAATATCGGAAACAAATCCAAACTGGACACTATAACCAGAAATCAAGTTTAAGTATTGATATTATATATTATTAATTGCATTAAAACATTACATTTAAAATCACTATATTTTTGTAATATATATATATATATATATATATATATATATATATATATATATATATCATATTCGTAATTTATTTTAATAGATAATTACGAAGAAGCATTGGAACGCTTACAAAAATCAAAAGAAAAAAATTATGCTTTTACGACAGATTGTGAAAGTGATTATATGCAAAAAATAGATCAAATAATTAAACAGGTAAAATCTAAAAATAAAAAAAAGAATGAGGTTGATAAAATTCTGAATAATGTATTAAACAAGGATAAAGATAACCAGAATTTAATAAATTCGTCAGAATGTGGTGAGTTACCATAAATTTCAGTTGATAAACATACTACAAATAGAACAAAGAATGATTATTATACTCCTTTTCTTAATTTACATATTAATTTAAATTGCAGAGTTATCAATAAAATCAATAGAGAACTTATCAAACCCAATACTTTTTGTAGAAGATAATATAAACACTGAAACATCAACAATAAATACCGACGAAAATTTTCGATAAAATGTTACTACAGATGAAAATTTAGAATGTAAGTAATAATAGATTATATTTAATTTCTATTATATGTATATGTTCAACAATTTATTTATTTATAGGTATGAAATTGATTATAACGAAAATTAAAAAATTGGAATATGCAGTGGAAAAAGCAAATATAGAAATTAATAAAAAATTTAATATACTATTGTCAAGAAACGTAAATCTTACAAATATAAGCCAAAATTATTATGAAAAAAATGACATCCAAATACCATTTAAGACTACAGAACAATTTTTTAACTTTTGTGAATTATTAGAAAAAGAAGAAGATTGTCGACGGCACTTTGGAAGCATAATTTATATTTATAATCGTATTTACAAAATTATTACAAAATGTAGTAACATATATCATTTTCAGACTTATTCCATTAATATTTTGATAGATATTAATTTAAATATATCCAGAAATACATATACATATATATATATATATATATATATATATATATATATATATAT